GGGTGTGTGCGTGTGTGTGCATATGTTTAAGTATGTGTGTTTTTGTATGTGTGTGTGTGTGTGTGTATGAATATATATAGTGATGTGCGTTTTGAAAACGTTTGAAAATGACTAAAAGAAAGTTCTTGAGTTTTGTTTTTATCATTATAAAGATTATTTTATTAATTATTGATCTGAGATGGAAAATGGTATTGACTTCATTAACATTATCAATGATATTACATCAGCAGTTACCTTTCTGTTTTGTACATAAAAGAAAAACAATTAGGAATTGTTGAAATAAAAAAAATGTATATGTATATTTAGGCCTATATGGTATTGGTGTGTATGTATGTGCGTGTATATATACAATATATACATGTGCATGTGTAAGTACATTTTTGGAATGAGATGTATTTTAACATATTCAATGAATTACATTTGGGACCTAAAAGAAAAAGAATATATGCCTATTAATATATTTTTTAGAAATTAATAAAAGTTTAAAAGAAGAGTTTAAAACTACAGTCAGCCATTGCGGACTGACCCTTTTTGAGTGCAATTTAGTTTTAATGTTTACATTTTTTGTCATTGATGACAGAATAAAAAAATCAAATGTAACAAAAAGAGATAGAAATAAAAGTGGGTGAAATTCCCACGGAAGAGAAAAAAAATTAGTACATATGCCTACTGTAGGCCTATACCAGTTCCGAAAGTTGGCTTATGTATTTTGTATTGGTTTTGTCATAAAATTGTCTGAAATATTTCATCCGCAGTCATGGACTAGTCTACGTTCTCTGACAACGCAGTTTAAAACAGTTCGTAAATGCCATAAACTCTGACCACGAGGGGCATTCACCCTCTGGACCCCGACCGGGGCCCTGCTCGGCCCCCACTGTCTTTTTAATAGCTCTGCTCACTTTGCCTAGATGTGTATAAGAGACAGCTTTGAATGCATAAGTAATAATGTGTTATGGAAAAAAATAGACAATATTTTCAAAAACCTTGACAACAACAGTAGTTCTTTTAAAGAACTCCTCCTGGGTTGTGACAGTAAAATTAAGAACCAAATATATTCCATTGCAGTCTACGCTATTTACAAAATTTAAATTTTAACAAGCCAGTATGTACGAACCCTTGGATAGCGTTTAAGTATATTGTAAAGGATATGAACGCAAGAGGCTTATTAAATAAGTTCTTTTGACTGTTCAATAATTATATGCCCTTTATTATAAAGATTATTATTATTATTATTATATATATAAAACATTTAAGAAGTGTTGTCTTGTTTTAACTTAAATAATGAATATTCCAGTAGACCTATATAAACAAATAGAGCTGCCTGTTACAAAATAAAGTAGGAGCTGAACTTCTTCTTGACTCTCTCTCACCATGGACCTATTAATAGGTCCATGCTCTCACCTTGTACACTGAAAATAATAGTACTATTTTTACTACATGGCTAAAAAAGCACAAATATTGTCACTACTACAACTGACAGGGCCATCGTTAATTTAAGTCAGAGCCCAAAATATAGCATCATATTGAATACGTCATCTGACATCATGGGAACCTAAACTTTAATTACAATTATTTGTTTACTAGGCCTAATTCGAAATTATTATTTAATAACTTTAATCTAATACATACTGATTAATAATAGCTGATATTTGATGCACATTTCGGAATTAATAATCGTTTTTTATCTTACTGAATATTTATTGTCTACCAAATGAAATATTAATTATATTTGAATCTTCAGAAATACAATTTCTACAATATTATTCTTGTTTTTATATAGATAAATGTTCGATAAATACTATCTTTCGTAAAACAAACGAAATTCAGCGCGTCTATTTTCATTCCAATCAATGGCGTTTGTAAACATGTGCACTGACGTCATCGTCGAATCCCAGGACTTTCGACGGCAATGCCTGCCTGCCTAGGTCCCAGGCCAACCAATAATAATTTTAAAAATGTATTTTTTTAAATATAGGCCTATGGAGCATCCTAGTACATGCACTTCAACTTTTACAACAAAAGCCTAGGTCTAGTAGTACGTCCTACTGTACTTAAGCCTAGGCCTACATTAGTTTGATGTCGTCGGGTATAATTCTGTCTCTAAATGCAGCGTGACCACTAGGGAAAATCAAAATTCCCAAGAGTGGGTCTAAAAATTCCCAAGATTGCTTTTAAAAACCCAACATTCTCAAAATATTCTTCATTTAAAAGTCCTTCATTTTAAAGCTTTTTCAATGAATTATAAACTGTACAGTATTTTGTACTGTATAGGCCTTAACGAAGTGTCTGGGTTTTCTAGACCAGAAACTCGTCCGCTTTGGGCCATAGGCCTACTATAAGGCCTACTCTGTGCGTCCGTAGAAAATCCTTTTTGGTGACTAAAACGTGATATCCTTTCTTCTGGCCGCATTGTATGTTAGGACAAGAATTTGAAGTTTGTGCGCAATTTCACCCATTCGATATTAACAAAGTCAGTACTTCACACACATTAGGCCTATGGCCTACAATATTATATAAAAAGGCATAATCGATCTTTACAGAGTGTCGAATTGATCTGTCAATTTTATACCAGGGGCTTACAGTATTGCATAGAAGTATTTAACAATAAGAAAAGTGGGGAAAACAGCTTCCTTTGAAATCTACTTAAGCGAGTGTGTATGAAACATAGATTTTCTATGGCAACTAAAATTTGATACTACGTCTAGAAGTGTAGAGATACGAACCCTATTACTAAAAACTGTTGAATTCTAAATGATTACAAAATGACCAAGCATAAATGAATTGGTCTAAAATGATATTCAAAGATATTATACAGCTATAGACCGCTAATGTTTGTTTTGCATGTCTATCACACACCGTCACTCACAAATTAACGTATGTAAAAATTGGTCGTAAAATTTGATAACAAGTTGACCATTAAAATCTATTGTAAATATTTATTTGAATCCGTACACCGATTTTGTTTCAAGTTGTTTGTTTTCAATATTATAGCTGTTTCATTAGGCCCTACGATGACAATGTTTTGAAATCGTACTGTATAACTCTCCAAAAAAAAAAATTATGGGCAAACAACAGAAGGCTCTGAATTTTTTACAAGTTGACCAAGCGTGTTGCTGCATCATTATTGTTCAGTTACGATCACTATTCAGAGAGCAGCAGGTTGATAATTTGTTTTTCCCACAGCTATTTAGATTGTGAGTGTAAATATTCTTTAGTGTATTAACTGTAGATAAGAATTGTAGATAAATAATGCACATAAAATCAATTGTCGATGGAGGACGGCGTCAGTCATGTAATTAGTCCCATATTAATAGTACCGATATTTTGAATACTCCTCTTCCGCGAATTGTTTTATTGACAGTGACTCATGTAATTCTTATATAATCACTTTCAACATTTTAATCTAAATAGTTCACCATATCGTAAAATTTTGAATACTGTACCAACCCAATTTGTTGGCGATCCTCAGTGTATGTTATGTTAATGAAACATGTCATAATGTACAACAAGGGAATGTGTATTACAATATGCCAGTACGTATTTTTTAGATTTTGACGCACTCCGTTCTGTTGTGTGTGACTGCTGTTGAAAACAAACTTCCTCATTTTGTGACTCGCTATGATGACTGAGATGTGACCATGTTGATTAATAATATTTTGTTTGGGATGGAAAAAAGGAGTCAATTTCCCAAAAATGCTCCATCAGCACATAGTTTAGTGTGGTCTATGGACAGTATGGCTATGGAATTTACTAACCACACAATCCACAATCTGTCTCTTATACACGCAAAACTTTAGCTGCATTTGTTGGATTAAACTTTAACTTCGTTTGGTGGCGCCATTTACTCTAGGTAGACGGAGACCGGTTTTGTTACTGGTTGGTACATTTCTTACAAACATTTAGCCAAAGGCCAGTGAAAGCTCGATGTTTGCCATCCTTATGTGAGCTATCGTAAAGTCATGGTTTGCCGGAGTTGCGTTCAATTTAAATCTCCGAACTTCTGAAGCTGAGATATTCTATGAGTGTAGGCTTGTATCGCTTGCTACAATTTAAAAACGGGTGAGCAAATAATGAATTAGGTGCTAAATTTTGATTTAATGCTGGGTAAGTTAAAAACAGACATTCCGTCCGAGTGGGACTCATTCAAAAATTCGAGGGGGTTCGCTAGAAAAACAGGGGGTTCGCTAGAAAAGGGGGGTTCGCCCGAACCATAACCCCCCTGGCTACGGGCCCTAAGGGCCCCCAATAACAATCACCGCCAGGGCCCCACAAACTCCGTGACGCCACTGGCTGTGGCCGATGATCCAATCAGAAAACATAATTTGAGATGCAAGAAAGGAAAACACTAAATTGAGCAGGACGTAGATGGAAAGGTGATACGAAAGAAAAAAAAATTAAAAAGCTGACTGAAAATGGAAAGGTGGTGATCGGCTGACAGCGTGAGTTGAAAAGACTTGACTCATGCTCTCAATCAAAAGGTGATTGCGAAGGGCACCAACGCACACAAGTGATAAATACGCGTAGATAGCATTGGCGGATCCATGAATTCGAAATAGAGGGGGACCATGCAGGGACTAGCAGAAAGGAAGGGTCTACACCACCTCAGCCCTACCAAGGATGGGGATGAGGTAAGATAATATTATAATTATGGCACCGCTAGATGGCCGAAAATTATAGGTAATTGTATTTTTGCCCTACTAATAATAGCCTCATCGCAGCAATAATGCCATGTAGGGAGTGCTTGAGGGTAAGGCAGGTTCAGCAGGGTGGGGGGATCGTTGAATAAATGAGTGGGCGCGAGCTGGCAGGGTTAACTCGCAGCGAGGAATCATAAGCTTAGGCTCATGTTACAGTATTACGTACATGGTTTGAGAATGTGAGTGTAGAAGCTATATTTCGGTAGTATCTAGCGAGATAGAAGAATCTTGTGACACATCTTTACATTGTGTGTATGCATATTAAATTGGGTTTTAAACATGAAGTTTAAAATATATACCTACCTCATTAATTGTATGGTAAGAGCTGCAGTCACTCTTCTTGTATTCAACTCTGAACTCCGTAACCCAGTTGTTACCACACTGCCTTCCCTGTGTGATCACCCCCGCTACTTCCATGTCTGCCTGTAAGTCCACATTAATCCAGGGGTTGGTATCGGTATTAGTGGCCATCCATCCTCCTTTCTTGTCAGAGGAACGCTCATATATTGTATTCAGACGCCCTCTTGCGGCACGGTATCCATAAGTCGCCTGGCTACTTGCTGAAAATGCGCTGTCGGGTATGACTTGATTAAGATTATTAACATCCAAGCCTACATTATATTCGTTGCAATTGTCTGAAAGTTGTTATATAAGTATAATGCATTATTCATAAATATTATTTTTGAAACCAGGACTAACTCTAATCGAGGACTAACTAGTCCAGGACTACAGTTAATCCTGGACTAACTTAGTCCATTTTCGAGAATACGGGCCAAAAGGTTTAAATGTTGGCAAGTGGGTTCAAAGCTGAATCTTGGAGTGTTATACAGCATTGCATCCAAATTACTTAAACTGATTGAGTGTTAGGAGAACTTAGCTGCATAGACACGATTAAAAGGCGTAGGAGATCATGTTCCGATCAGATGATAATATTCTTCTGGCTTGGTAATAAACAGATGATCCGGCCATCCAGGGACCATGCAGCTTCAACACTTTTATTGCGCGAATCCTCGTGAAGGAGGCGCAAGCGTTTGAATGTAAGATTTTCAGTTATAAAGAAGCCAGATTGCTTGAGCGATCCCTTGTTACGAAACACTTCAGATCTAGCAAGATACGAAGTATATTTGATGATAATAGGACGGGGCTTCGGCTTGGTCGACTATTAATTATGTTTTAACTTAAATATATTCCATATATTTTTGGATTGTCGATTTTCACTTTTCTTTTCTGATTTAAATATGAAGTATGATTTGTAAATACAAAATGTAAATAAAAAGAAACCTTAAGTCCCTTAACAAATCTGTGTTAAGTTCCAGTTACTATGTTGAACCAGTTTAAACCATGCATTAATGTTTTCTCAATAGGAAAGCACTCAACGATCACTGCAGTAATTTAAAACCTCGCAGGTTGAATTGTTATAAGTTAACTAACAGATGCTGTTCATTTTCAAATTCCAAATGACATTTTTCACGTACACATCATCAGTAACTAATTTCCAATCTAGTAATCTTTTCTTACAGGTTTAAATAATGTGTATTTATTTCGTAAAATTAAATTGCGCTACTTTTACCAAGTGTTTAAATTCATACAATATATTTTAGAATACCATGTTTTTTTCACGATCGATATTTTCATTTCGAACCCTAATTCCCATGTAGCTTGTGCCGATGGGATAAAAGAAGTGTGTACCTATAATATACAGAAGACTTTTGTGAAACATTCTTCTATTTTACATCTAAGTGATTATTCTTTATTCTAGGTTCTGAAATTTCCTTCTTTTTTCCTTTCACTTGGTTAGCATTGTAAGTATTCATATAAAACCGTTTTTCATTTTTTACAACGTGGAGATCAGCTCTTCAACTGTTAGTAAAGTTATGTACCATAATGTAATTTATTCTTTCATATCTAGAATTAAACCAAGCTTTAAAATATATTGATTTTTCACCTGAAGTTATATATTTTTCCCTATAGTTGTTTGTGTTTTAACTTCATTTATCTTAGGTGGATCTAAATTGACAATATTATTCAGATTCACAACTGCTTGTAACATTTTGTATTATAGAACTCTGCAAAAATTTGCAACGGCATGGACATCATCATTATATTTACTAATTATTCAATGTGTATTTGATTGGATACATATCATAGTTTGGGATACATTTCTATTTACCCGGTCCTGCAGTGGGCTCAATAGTCTTTGGACCCAACTTAATTTTAATGATTTTATTATGGATGGATTTGTTTGGTTTAAGCACCAAGAATAAGCCACGAAAATCTGCAGAAGACTTATTTCAAGTGGGCTCCTATTGGTGATGATTGGGCAGTACACCGACAGACAATCCCTTGCTCTCAGAATAGTGTACTGCGTTAACGTGCACACGGGCCATAACACGGCTAACATGTCATAATAATAATACCACAAATAAGGACAATCATCATAGGCCTAACCTAAACTTACACCCGACTCTTAACTGACAGTAGATAGCCAGATCAAGTACTCCAACCGGAATTTGAAGACAGTATAACTGCTTGGTACCACATTTATTACTGCAAGACACAGTTCTCGAAACGCCGCGGACTCTGTGACAAAATGTGCGGAGCACGATGAGGCCGACTTTGGAACGCTGTTGTTATTGACTCTGAGCTCCGTTTCCCATTGCATTATATTACCTTAGAATTACGTAAAAGTTTTCGAAATCTATGGTATGGCAATACCATATATTATATATCTACACGATATGCTATGATGTTATTTTTTCTCATTGCCGACGTCAAAAATTTCCGATTGCCGTTTGCCCGAGTAGAAATCCCAACAAAGCTTGATTTTTTTTTCAAATATTGTTATTAATACAGCTGTATGTTCAAAGTCCTGTAACATTATTAAATGTCGGATTTAAATTAGTTTTTTACCAGTTTTATAATTTCCATTTGACTATTTAACCCTATATTATTAACTAAAAATCGATGTTTTTATGTATGTGGAACAACAAGACATAATTACCGTCAAAATTGGTGATCATAAAAATTATTTGATATGTAATTCTACTTGAGTAGAACATTAATAGAAGGTGCTGGGAATGATGTTGCTTCAATTAGTTTTCGTTGCAGTCATTTAGGGGCGTTTATTTGAGGAAAAACAGAAACGCCCAGTATTCCAGAGAGACGTTTATTCTAAATGAGGCTCTAGCGAGGGGGCGTTTATTAAAAGCGGGGTGTTCGAATAAATACTGTATTTTTAGGCCTCTTTGTACACATATATTTCAGTTGTAATGAATATAGTTATGTTTCCGAAATACGTCAATCGTTTTCTGTCATTTGTGATCAGTCTCTCTAGGGCCAATAATATACATATATTGTATGATAGAAACTTCCCCCATCGCATATATGCTAAATGTATATAATATGCGGAAAACTATGAGGCAAGTTCTGGTAACTAACTTAATTATAGCACGAGAATTATACATGATGATAATACTAATAATATATAATGATAATAGTAAAATATATAACAACAGAGTAAATTCGGAGAAAATAGGTTAGAACTATTGACCCTTGTATGTGAGCATTATTGACTATATAAATTGACTCTGAAACGTAAATATTCGAGATAAGTCTCCGAGGAAAGAAGGTAAAGTCAAGCAATAAAATGGACCATAAAAGAAAATTGTGTTGATTGTTTTAAGCCGAAATGTCAAGTCATGAAACATAGGTTGTCGAGTTCGAGCGGAGTGGATTTAAATAGAAGGAAATAGCGGAATTATTGCATTCGTCGTAACCTGCGTTTTTATATACAACTGCGAACTGTGGTCGCTAAACAAATCTTAAGTTTAGAGTATTAAATAGATTGCTTTAAAAAAAAAACTACTAAGAAGAACTTTTAAAATTAACTGGCCATTTGAAATTAGACACATTTAATTATACAATAGAACTGGTGAGTAGACGTGGTCTGAAAAAATTAGGAATAGATGAATGAGATGGTTATAGAATTTGTTAAGATTGCCAGATAATTCGCCTGCCAAACAAGCATTATCAGAATATCATCGAAAGTCAAAAAAGGCTCAGAGGCAGACCAAAGACCACACGGATGCAGACAATTAATAAAGACCTAATGTGAGTGATATAATATGAAGTCAGAAAATGTGAGAGTTGGCCGCTGATAGAAAGGGAATCATCTCATCATGAATGGTGTGAACGCTATGTCTACAAAAGACGAATAAGCGAACAGATAATAATGATGATATCAAAAGGTATATATAAGTATATAAATAACTTACTTTCAGCCATAGAGCAACTGAAGATCGTAAATATAACTAGAATCGAAAACATCTTGATTGAACACTCTGTCCAAACTAACCAACCATTAAACAAATACGAGTCAACTCGAATGATTCTCACATATAGGCCTAAATATTTTGTCATTTTATTATTCTTTATTTAAATATCACCAATTGTGAGCCAATTGCCACTACTAATAAACAGAATTCTCAAATATTCATATTTAATCAAGAACATGTTATTACACACTTAAATTGATCCTTGTCATTTGATTGGTGAATTTCTTATCACGTGACATTGGTTATTTACACCATCATCAAAATGTGTTCCATCCGCGCATGTTTTGTTCCATTTATTTTATTCCATAGCATGCCTTAACCTTTTCATTGGTTAAAAGAAGATAGACTGTTCCATTCAGAAAAAAAGGTAGACTTAACTCACTCTATTTTTTTTTCATAAAAATATCAAATGATAACGATCTATTTTAGGTGTGTTATAAAACAAATAATGAATGTGTTATTCGTGCAATGGGAATAATATTTTCATGAGTTGAAAGATTGACTGTTCTATTGAATGAGGCGGAGCCGAATGAATGGAACAGTCAATCTTTCAACTCAAGAACATATTCTTTCTTTGCACGAATAACACATTAATTATTTGCATTGGGGTTTACATTACCTGCTTCAAATCATGCAGAATATCGACGTATTTATTGTAGCTTATTCATCTTTGAAAAATACAGATGCATATAGATGTTTATACATATTTGAAATATATACATACGTCAATTGACACAGAATTTATGGAGTTTACCTAAATAGAATCACATCTGGTCTGTAAATATTGATCTGGTTTGGTTTATGTTTTCCACAAATGTTATTAAAAACTAATGGAATAAGAAATCCTACATTATCAAATTATTTTTACGCTTACATGGTACATAAATTGTTAGTAAATCATTAAGAAACATTTAGCGTAGTAGGGGATTGAAAAGAAAATATAGTACGTTCATTCAAAAGAATGGAAAAAGTAAAAGATGTATAATTGCATCGGAGTACGATATTTTGTTGTGGGTTGCCGATGCTGTTGATCAAAATGAGTAAAAGCTTAGTAAAAAAAAATCACAAAATAATTTTACAAAATGGTTTGAAAGTTATTTAAAGGATAGAAAGCAATTTACTGAAACTATAAACTGGGCTACTAGAGAAATAAACCGTGGTGTACCACACATGTGTAGTTTAAGATTTTAATTAATTTCATTATTTAAAACTTCTGAATTTATCAAGGAAAACTGCATGTCAAGCTCGCAAGAGACACACCCAACCTAACATTATTACAAAAAAAACACGATCGAATTTACTTCTCAACCCCAGCAAGAGTCTGAAGAACGGGCTGCTTTATGGATTTATTTGGTGTAAAGTAAAACACAAAATCACAAATTAGTATTATGTATAAAGTTGGTTTAACCACAGATCCATTATGCATATAGGATTTGTGGTTCAACAATGCCAATACAGATGGCGCAAATATAAGAAATATGATTATTTTGAAGCAAATACAAATAATGACCTCAGGTAATATTTGGCAACATGAACATTGTTAGGCCGTTATTGTATTGTAATAATAAAGTAGATTAAATTTTAGATAATGTTTTCAAATATGATACCGGTAACGCATAATAATGCCAGATGTTTGGTATTCATAAATACTGGTAATTAAATAAATGATACTAAACCGTCTGTGAATTACGACGTTCTCAGGAAAGTATGCACATATTAAGTAATGTTGCTGCGAAGCCGTAAATTTATTTTTGAACCTAAAGTACGTACGGACTCTTTATATATTCTTTCTGATTTTGTGGCAAAATGAACAACTAATATTGGATTTTAGTCTATTTTTTTAGAGCAACCTCGACTCACTGTCATTAATAATAATACTAATAATAATAATAAAAATATAATAATAATAATAATAATAATAATAATAATAATAATAATAATAATAACAATAACAACTATAACAATAAAATTAACGATAACGATAATAATAATAATAATAATAATAATAATAATAATAATAATAATATAATGATAATAACAATAATACCTAAAAGAAAAATAACTCTAAAAACGACGTTTCGACTCCTTAATTGTATTATTTCATGTTCAAATAATGAGATACGATACGATACGATTTATTGGGTTCACTTTTAGATCAGTGGCACCCATCACTTAGATGGTGCACCCATTAACAATATAAATTATAAGCAAAGGAAAGCAAAAGACAGTTCAAAAACAACAAAAGGATAAATAGCATAACAAAAACAAAACCAAGCAATTTACAGTAAAATTTTACCCTTATTATCTAAAAAAAAAAAAAAAAAAAAAAAAATTCTTACGAAAATATAGTAAGTAAACTGAATGAAACACACTGGGCTGCATAACAACCTGTACTTAGAAGTTGTGTGAAGTTACCGGATTATGTATTTATTTTATTTTTTTATTTATTACTTTTCTTTTTCTACGGACCAGGGCAGAATTAAAGTCAAATTCAGTGTAATAGTACTGGTTCTTGTACAGCTCATTGCGTTTCATCCAAGCAATATAAAGGTATTTTTTACAATATTTGTCGAAGATAAAACTTGCATCATTGTAATCAGAATCAACCAAATTGTATTTAAGGGGAAATTCATTATGGATAAACAAGTCATCAAAGAAAAGATGGTGTCTAAAATTTGCCAAACTAGAAGTAAACATATCCCAAGATATATCAAGGTTGTATTCATTAAGTTCAATTTTAAGTTCCTGGAAAATTGTATTTATACAGGATACAAACTGCTTATAATCTATAAAACAAAAGCTTTAGACTAGAATGTCAAAGTTCGTAACAAGGGATATTAACCCTCCAAGTTAGATAAAGAGTTTAGCTTAGACAGAGTTTCTTTGTTTATTCTGGTTTTAATTGTCTGACAATTAGTTTAATTGTATTCCTGTATATTTTTTGTAAGTTTATCATTTTATCATGTTTATCTGTATAATGGTTGCGAACTTATTCAAAAAGTTACTGAACGGCACATGGATAGCAACAATTTAATAATAAGTCGACTTATAAAAGCGCAAATAAACAAGTTAATATCTAATAAATCACCTGCTCAAGATGACAGTATAAGATAACGAAATGGGTATCTCTTCCATAACAATTAAATGTTATATCTTCATAAAAGAAAAACCTCTAAAGTCAAAGGAACCCAAAGTTGATTCACCTTGAAACTTTTTCAACAAACTGTGTACACTGAGATCTGTTAGATGTGTTTTGTAATAATAGCCATTCCCCTTTGATATTGCTGCTGGTCCAACGTTAAAACATTCGCAAACATGTTTATGGTCACCCAGCAGCAAGAAAAACCAATAGCTGAACAAAGGGCGGATGAGCTCCTCGGAGTCAACGGCCAACCATTAATTAGTTTAAGGAATAGGAGTAGTTTAGTCTCATTGTTATTATTGTTATTATGATTATTATTTTTATTTTTATGTTACTATTTTATTCTTATTTGCATTTTCTTAGTTGGCATATATTATTTCTTTGTAAAGCGCATAGGGGCAATGTGCAATGTGCGCTATATAAATATAACATTATTATTATGTGATTTATGGGGCAACATGTTGCTTGTACGTATTCCTTGCTCTGTTCTGATTGGTCAGGTGTTAAGTTTGATTGACCCTCCGGAAAGGTTCGTTGTATTTATTAAAGTTAACTGAGTAATGGGCTTACTAGACTGGTTCATTTAGTTTTCTACGAATTTTCGTTGAGTATTATTTTCATTCGACTGGTTCGTAAAATAGACTTCGTTGACAACGAAAATTAACGTAACCAGAGTGCGATAATCAGCGTTAAGTTATCCACGTGACCAAAACAAACATGGCCGAATATAAATCATCAAAGGTACATATACAGTGTTTAAATAAGGACATGATGGAACATCGTAGGCTACCCTGTAGCTTTTGAACGAATAAAGTCCTATAAAAGTCATTGTGTAATAAAATGCTTCCCACGGGATTCTAACCTGCGACCTCTCGCTGACATCTGCCAGATTTATCTGCCCGGACGCCCTCTTGAGGCGTAGCATTGTGTAATACAAAGTTCCCGACGATTTTTTGGACCTGTTCAACCATGAGGCCTTCGTGGTCTAGTGGTTATGACGCTCGCCTTGTCATATACAAAATCTGTGTGTCATACCCTTTCACACTGAACTAGTTCGCACTAGGTTCAGGGTACGGGGTGGAACGGGGACGAACGGGATATGAACGGAATGGACGTAGTAGACACCGAATACAATCTTAGTACGAACGGGATGAACGGGCAGCGATTTTTTTTCCGTACGAAACATTTGCATGAAACTTCACTCGGGCCATCTCGGATTGACTCGAGTGAGTACGATACGAGGAACAAGAGCAGACACTTCGCAATATCGTGACGCTCGAGTTTTAATATTATTGCTCTTTCTATGTTTACCTACGGTAGGCCTATGAAATTTCACGGCCTTATGTGATGTACGTCACTGTGTAACTAACTGTGACCTTCTTGGATGTTATTAAATGTTAG